TACAAATGTGAGCACGGTATTCGCCTAATGAAATATATGAAATGAAATATATACAATTATTTGGTCACAATTAGGTCACATACATGTATATATTCACGTTCAATATGGCCAAAATTATACTCAATGCATTGTGTCTAATTTAGCCTTTATTAAACAGTTCTAATAGATGTAATAAGAATAAAAAAGTCTGCCGACAACCTGTATTATAAGTAATAACTCCCCACACGCCTCTCTGCTAAATTAATTTAATACAAAAAATACTAATAAAACAAACGGAGCGGGACACTTAGAAAGGGCGAGAGAGGTCCTAGGGAATTTTGGTATTAAAATTCATCGCAAAAGCTCCAAATCTTCTTAAAATATCGCCCGGAAACGATAGTGTTACACATAGCCAGAGTATATAAATTTTCAACTAATTTTTCAAGCTGCACATATAGTAAAAAACATTTCATTATTTTATTAATAGGTACATGAAATTATCAAAAAAGATTATAACTTATGCATAAATTTAATTAAATCATTAAAAAGTTTAATTATTTATAATTGAATTGTTAGATGATTGTGTTTTAAGGAAAGGTAACTCAGGTGTGTAAAATGACCAACTTAGTGCCGATTTATGAGTTATCGTTTATAGGAATGACATATAGGCTACTTCCGCATTGGTATTGTTATTATTCTCTTTAGAGAAGTGGACAGGCTTTCGCCTACATCAACTTCTCTTCGCAGGCCGTCATGTTGTTATTCTGGAAAACGTGTATGTCTGATCATACGTAACAGACTTGTGAAATTAACAAATTCAACATAATTACATACAACTATCACAAGAAAACCAACCTTTATGAGTTATTTATCCATTTTCACATATGCTCCATCCCGGATTCAAATTATGAGCAAATAATTCTAGGAGGATTACAAAAACTCTAATTCGGATAAAATTGGAAAATATTTTTTTTTAAAGTCATAATGAAACGGTAGAAATTGTCTTTTTTATTTTATTTAACGAGGCATTATTTACTCAAATTTTGTTTAATTATTCTTTTGAAATTGGTTTTAAATCTCTTTTAGCTTAATTTCTCAGAAAAGGTAGAATTTTAATAATGATAACTATATTTCCCAAATTATCCGATTTTGAATTTTCACATTTTTCGAATTACCCATTGTAGAAACGCATGAGTTTGAATCCGGGAATGAGAAGTTGTAAATATGGATAAAAGATATGTAAAGGTTGGTTTCCTGGTGACATTTGAGTTTATTTATCTTTATATTGTTAATATAACTTGTCTCTTATGAACAAATAGACATATTTCAGACGAAATGTTAGTTGAAGTGTAGGCCGTCTCCGGTTCTTCATTAAACGTTTTCCAGAATAACAACATGGCGGCCTGCGAAGAGAAGTGGATGTAGGCGAAAGCCTGTCCACTTCTCTAAAGAGAATAGTATTGTTTGTACACAAAAGGGTTCCTTACATTGCTTTGTACATAAAAGTGTTGACCAAAAAAAAGGAGAATGTTTTCACTCTATCTGAAATGACAGGTTCAAATGAATGGGGAACAGACTATATTCAATATTATTAACTCTCTTTGACGATTGTTATGAGGAAGAAAATATAATGACATGTTTTTTGTACACACTTTTGCGCTTCCTATATAAATATATATATTTTTACAAGTAAATGCAACAATAAATTATCTTATTTGTGTTACTTAGCACGAAGAAGAACGACCGAGTACAAACATTAAATCAGATTAGAACTAAGAAGAAGGGTGGATTTCACTTTTTACTTTAATTAAAAAAATTACTTATATCTAATGAAACAGTGTCCTCTGCAACTAAATAGTAAATAAGTTTAACATTACTTCTAAATTTTAAAACAAATGGATTCTACTGACAGCGAAGAAACACTTTGGAAATGCTAAAAACTGACTTGCGTATAAACAGTCAGATACCTCGGATATGCTATAAACAAGTTTCAGTAACGAGTTATCGTTCATAACAGCGAACCCTAGCGACAGTTGAAAGGCCTACCTTGAACTTTGACCTTTTACCTCAAAATCCGTAGGGGACTTCCCTAGGCCACAGGGAGTTATGTTAATTTTCATTGCGAAAGCTCAAAGGGTTCTTGAGATATTGCGCGGAAACAATTGTTATGACAGACAGAATTTACGACCTTGACCTTTGACCACAAAATAAATAGGGTTCTTTTTTGGCCATAGGGAGGTGCTCTGCAAACTTTCACTGCAAAAGCTCAAAGTGTTCTCGAGATATCGTGCAGAAACGTAAGAGTTACAGACAGACAGAAGGACGGACGGACGGACAGGCCCAAATTTAATATCCCAACTTTCAGTGAAAACGGGACACAATATATATTTACTCATGTTAATTTTACTTATTGTACTTTATACATAAGCTTTTTATAATTATGTGAAGTTTGTATAGCTCAATAATTTTCAAATACACGTTTCCACTAATTCGTGATTAACATTATCCTGTCCAAATGATTGACCACTATATTGATTTTCGTCATCAGTTTTTCCAGTCGGGGTCAAATAATCATCGGATCTTTTACTACTGTCAGTGAATGTGCTTGAATTGCTTCCCTTGTAATTTAAGGATTCTGAAGGAGAGCTTTTTCTGTCCATGGCTTCTTCATAGTGTACATCAGCGTACAACCGAGAGGACCGGTCGCTGATTGTTAAATAAGAATGCGAATCTGGATTTTCATCCGCAGGTCCTGGTGAATGTTCACCGCTTTCTATACCTAAATGATAGAAAAATCCTTATTTATAAGAATTGGGATACCTGGATAACATTTTGAAAGTTTGGTCTCTATCTTCCTGACCATGAATTTTTTTATAGCTCAGATTTAATTGAAAGGGCATAACAAAAGTACGCATAGGCTCACCGGTTATTTCTTTTATGGTGGTTTTTGATGTCTGTCTGAAAATAAAAAAAAATGAAAAATGTTCCAAAAACCTTTATCTTCTGTTTTTTTAAGTCAAAAGAAAGGCTGATTTTTCAAAGCATTGTAAAACAATTAACTAATACTTTCTTCTATCTACCAGAATTTTTATATAAACACAATGATATGAAAAGCACCTAGAAAAAGAAAAAAAACTTGGGTAGAAAATAAAATCTTCCACATGTGTCTGTCCACAGAGCTATAACCTATATAAGTATTTGAAATAAATAATTACTTGATTATAAAGCAGATGCAGGAAATACTTATAACAATCACCAGCACTAGTGACGTGACCAGAATAACGATGACCGTGCTAAGAAATGAGAGAGTGTCCTCAGGTGTCCCGAGGGTTGGCGTCAAGTTTGGAGAGAATAGATGGAACTTTGACGTTGCTTCATGTATATCTAACCAATCAGGAAAAATAAATGATACCGGTTTTATTGATTGATTGAATGTAAGTATATTGTTTTATGTCCCTATCGAGAATTTTTCGCTGGTGGAGAGCTGCAAAATCTGTCTTATATATGGCACCCAAGGCCTTCGAGCAGTGAGAGATGCAAAATCTAATGCATGAAAAGAAGAAAACACTGCTGTGGCCTTCAACTCGAAATTTAGATATATCGACGACGTATTGTCAATAAACAAAGGTTATTTCCATCCTTACAGAATGTCAATACGATATATCCTGGTGAGATTGAGATAAAGGATACCACAGAAGTGACATATCTGTTTCATATTTGGATAATTTACTTGAAAAAACCGTTAATGGTAATCTAACAACCAACCTCTATGATAAACCCAATGAGTGTAACTTTTATATCGTCAACTTCCTTTACTCATGCAGCAATACACCTTCATCACCCTTAGAGTTTATATATCTCAGTTGATTCGATACGCAAGAGCATGCTCAACGTATAAACAAGTTCTAAAACGAGGTAAATTTTTGACAAACAAGTTGATGAAACAAGAATATCATCAGTCCTGTTTAATGTCATGATTTTGTAAGTTCTATTGTCGTTACAATGACCTTGTCATCATATACAATTTATCACTGTTTCAAATGCTGTCAGGCTTTTTTCATGCTAATTGTTAGTCCATTATTTAAACACTGAAATGACGATCATAATAAGGAAGGCGGGCGTGATCGTTCGGTAGGAGTTACCCAATCCTCCATGACACCTGACCCTACCTCTAATGTTTTGGATGTCTGTGTTTGATCTGCTCACAGTTTGTATTGTTTTATGGACTTTTGTTCTTGAATACATTGCATTGTCAATCTAATCGCCTTCTACATTCAGACGGATATTGTTATCAGGTTTCTAGCTGTCTTTTCATTTATTTTAGTCAATATTTTGTCTCATTTATAATTATCTTTTTTTATTTCGTGCATAATAAATTACTTATTCGTAATATTAGCTATATAATTAATTCACAATATGCAATTTGATAGTCTTTATATAATTTAAGATGAACAGTCTAAATTGTTCATGATTTTAATCTTCTTTATAACTGTTAGAATTTCAATATCTGACTGAATTTATCTTACATTCGTCAAAATCAAATTAAAACAAAGTTAAGATTATAAGCATACGAAAAACATTTTTCTTTCTTTGAACATTTATGAGTTCTTTATGAAACTAGACATTCTCAAAACTAATGAAATGTATTTGAATAAAGTCTAAGGTCTCAAGACTAAAGATGATAAACGCAGTATTTAAACAAATAATTCTTACTGTAAACAATTGTGCTTAGAGTTTTAAAAACTTGTCATTTGTTGATAATAATTTTAATAATATTATTGAATATCATATGTGTTAACTTACATGCATATAGCGAAAAGGAGCCGAACTACAGAGGACCTAGATAGTTTTCGTATGATAATAGTAATGTGATGTTATCGAATAAAAAGATAATAACAGATTGATTTTCAATATGCTATAATTTCACCTTTAGGAGAATTTAATTTTGCTTTGGTTGTACTGAGCGCCAGAGTCATCAAACCAATGTCCGTACTTGATGTCATATTTGGAGGTGTGGTTTTCACGCATCCATACCTCATATCGCAGACTTCTCCCTCTGTGCAATTACACTCATACAAACATCTATCTCCATACCGGCCATCAGGGCACGACTCTGAACAGTTAACTCCATATGTACCAGACTCACAAGCTAAATTATTTTAGAAAAATAGATTTTTGTTAGTTTTAATAACTTAGGATCGGACTACTTTATCTTTAGTCTTTTTATACTATGCATATTTTACATCAAATACATATAAGGTATATAATGCTTTGGACAGAAAGGGAATTTTTTTTTAAAATTATCTTATTTGTCCATATTTGCTCCCCTGTTTTTTGTATCACATGTACATCCAATAGTAAGAGTTATCTTTAAAAAATATTTTTTTCAAAGACAATAAATAAAAATGTAATACTAATAACAGACAAAAATCTAATACTGATAAAAGAACATTTGAAAAATTAATGGTCCATAAATCGATATTACTTAATATTTAACTTGTAAGAGTTCAAAATCTGGAAGTATTTTTTGTTTCAAAGTTATGTCTCCTTGATAAATGTTTTATTTAATTGATCATTTAGTTGTGCATGTACATTATCAAAATCTGGTAAGATGACCTACAAGTAATATTTGGAACTTATACTTAAAAAAATATCTCTATGGAGAGAACGATCATAGGCATTTATGCCTGCTGTTCAACCCATTTCTTAATGAATAAAATATATTTTAATTAGTAACAAATATCTCTCTCATCAGAGGGTCAGTCCTCCTTAAAGACTGGGGAAAATGCATATTCTTTTCTTTTTAATACAGCAATTAGCAAAGTCCAAGGTTTATTGGCCTTCCTAGTGCAGTCTTGAGAACTCTGGTTTAAAAATCTAACGATCTATTGTTTGATAAAATTTCCTGGTACGCAGAGGAAAAAAAGCAAAATTGTTGTTTCTCATTTCCTTTATGAATTATCATTGGTTATAAAGATTTTTATGCTAGGTCAAAAAAATTACACAACTTCGTCTATTTAGAATTATTTCCTAGTAAAAAGGATCGTCTTTTTTTAAAATAGATTATATTGCCTGTTCATTTGGTGATCCCAAAATAACATACTAATATGATCTTTATATGTTAAGTGCCAAGTGATATATCTCAATTTATTTTCATTTAAAAATTTCAGATTTCCTGTCTATAATCTGATCTCAAATAATCAGAGAAAAAAAGTTTTTAAGCAGAACCTAGTATAAATAATAAATGCTATCATATGGATTTTCAAAATTAAAAAAAAATAAAATCCTGTGCTATTCTATATTTGATGTCAATCTATATAGAATGATGATAAGCACTTGTCCAAGTCAGGAACGTATTCATCGGACTCTGGGACCCGTTTTACAAAACAACTGACGACTAAGACCAAAAGCTAATGATACTTATAACTTTTATTTTGTACATCATATTGAAACTAGGTTTAATCCTTGCAATAATGCAGTGCAATAAGTTATTCTTACAATAGCAATTTGTAACAGAATCCTTAATTTTGCCAAATTTTACAGAATTCTTCATTTTGCCAAATTTCACTATCAACTTAAGTTTTTTAGCTCACCTGAGCCGAAGGCTCAAGTGAGCTTTTCTGATCACATTTTGTCCGTCGTCCGTCCGTCTGTCTGTCTGTCTGTCTGTCCGTCTGTAAACTTTTCACATTTTCGACTTCTTCTCAAGAACCACTGGGCCAATTTTGACCAAACTTGGTACAAAGCATTCTTGGGTAAAGGGGAATTTAAATTGTTAAAATGAAGGGACATATCCCCTCGCAAGGGGAGATAATCAAGGAAAGACAAAAATAGGGTTGGGTCATTAAAAAATCTTCTCAAGAACCACTGGGCCAGTTAAGCTGAAACTTATGTGGAAGCATCCTGGGATAGTGTAAACTTTAAATTGGACAAATCATGACCCCCGGGGGAAGGGCAGGGCCACAATGGGGAATCAAAGTTTTATATAGAAATATATAGGAAAAATCTTTGAAAATCTTCTTCTCAAGAACCACTGGGCCAGAAAAGCTGAAACTTATGTGGAAGCATCCTGGGATAGTGTAGATTATAAATTGTTCAAATAATGACCCCCGGGGGAAGGGCAGGGCCACAATGGGGAATCAAAGTTTTATATAGAAATATATAGGGAAAATTTTTGAAAATCTTCTTCTCAAGAACCACTGGGCCAGAAAAGCTGAAACTTATGTGGAAGCTTTCTGGGATAGTGTAGATTCTAAATTGTTCACATCATGACCCCCGGGGGAAGGGCGGGGCCACAATGGGGTATCAAAGTTTTACATAGAAATATATAGGAAAAAACTTTGAAAATCTTCTTCTCAAGAACCACTGGGCCAGAAAAGCTGAAACTTAAGTGGAAGCATCCTGGTATAATGTAGATTCTAAATTGTTCAAATAATGACCCCCGGGGGAAGGGCGGGGCCACAATGGGGAATCAAAGTTTTATATAGAAATATATAGGAAAAATCTTTGAAAATCTTCTTCTCAAGAACCACTGTGCCAGAAAAAGTGAAGCTTATGTGGAAGCATTCTGGGGTAGTGTAAATTCTAAATTGTAGGAATCATGACCCCCGGGGGAAGGGCGGGGCCATTATAGGGAATCAAAGTTTTACATAGAAATATATAGGAAAAATCTTTGAAAATCTTCTCCTCAGGAACCACTGGGCCAAAAAAGCTGAAACATATGCGCCCATGGAAGGATCATGGGGTAGTGTAGATTTCAAAATGTCTAAATTATGATCAGTGGGGTAGGGTGGGGATGCATTATGTATAACAAGGGGGAAATCTGGTAAAGAACGGAATGGTCAAAGCTTCTCAGGTGAGCGATGTGGCCCATGGGCCTCTTGTTATTCTTATAAGTTTGTCACTGCCAGGCAGTCCTATAAATTGTATCTTTATTCTTAAATAATATCAGTACTGAACCCCTCATCAGTCGGTGTTAATTGTGCCGATATGTGAATTGTTTAGATAAGAACTCATTGCATTTTCATACAATTGGCTTCCATCCCTATCTATATCTATAAAGGGACACTGGTCTCCATTTGTTTGTTCTTGCTAACAAACGTCAGATATTTGTATTTCATTGTCCTCATCCTCTCTGGAATTTCCTAGGTCAGCATCCTCGGGAGCGATGTCAACTTTATCAATTTGATGAACTAAAGCTGAATCCCCTGCTTTTATTTTTAATGTAGACTGCAGCTCGTCAAAGTTGCTCTTCAATATTCTTTTATCGTTTTCGCCTAAATAAGGATTGTCACCGTATGCTGGGGCTATTTCGATTTCCCTATTCGATTTAAGTACAGTATTGTTCCTACCTTGAACGGCACATTCACTTATTAAGGGACCATCTTGGTTTAGATGTCTCGTTATTTCACTACTCTGAGATCTTTTCCTCTGTGAAATATCTACAATGTTCGCACCTGTACTGCCTCCATCATTTGTTTTCATCGACAAATCTGACTCTCCCTCCGAGTGAGCACGTTTCAGTAGGCTAATAGAGGGTTCCTCGTACGCGCTATGAACATTGATATTGGATACTGAGTGGGGCTTCCTTGGTCCAATACAGATACAGGGCGGATCTAGAAACTTGTCACTCCTTAGGTCTAGCCTGAGAGAAAGAGTATGATAAACAGTATCATCTTTGTGGCCATAGAGTGGGTCAGAGATTGTTAGAGGGAGGGGAGATTCCTCGACATATATAGATTCTATTTTATTATATACACAGTCGTCTTCCTTGAAGTAGTCTGCGTTGTTTCTGACATCAGGAGCTGGCATAGGTCTGTCCCTTTCTGAAATATTTTCAATTAGGAAATCTAGCATCAAATGCAAGTTTGAACAAAGCTCATGCCTCATTCTAACTTTTATTTTGGAGACCACGTAAATATTACTCACTTCTTTGTTTTCTTTTTGCAGCCCTAAACAAATTAGAAATTTATCAAATTAATATTTATCAAAAGTCAAATAAATAATTACAAAAAAACTCGATTGTTCCAATAACGTTATGGCATTTATCAATTAATTACACATAAAAGTTTACAAAAATAAATAAAACAATTGTTTCAATATGTTTATATGTTTATGGCATTTCATAAAAATTTTAATATCTGATATTGATTTGCATTATTTGTATTATGCAGAACTTGTAGAAAACAGTCAGCGATTTGAACTGTTCCACAAATGCTGCTTTTAAAATTAGTGATTTAAAGCTATATTGGGTAAGAATTACTTCAACGTTAAATCACTTGTTTCTTAGAATTAATTAATTGACCGTATCATCATTCTGCTAATCTACTTTACGACTGAAGAATCTGGACTATCGTGTTATGTATTGCGCATTCTGCTTGGTGAATTTGCCAAGTAAAGGGTTAAACGACATATAAGTGAAATTTCTTTATGAGTGATAACTGATAATGGGATGTAAAACAACATACATTCAATCAATTTTGTTGAATAACTTTACCTTTTAGAATAGCAAAAATAAACGATCACGGAAATTATGCAAAAGCACACAAGAGTGCTTCCAATGATAATGACCTCAATGCTTCTTACACCATCCGTACTAATGTGTGCTTCTGTTTCGTAAAAAATATTTTAATATGCAGTACAAACAATATCAAGGTAGTACAAAGATCACTTCAATTTCAGGAATAGAAGTTTTGTTTTACCTTCCGTTGAATCAAACTTTATATTAGTCGTATAGAATGGCTCTTTAGAATCGTTGTACGATATTTTTATCCCATCAATTGCATCCGTTGAACCATTTGTTGTATTTGCAGATTTCACACACCCAGCCTCTTCATCGCATATCTTTTGATTTGTACAATTACAAACAATTGAACTTTTTCTTGGAGTTAAGCGTTTGATACAGCCCACCCGTTTATCGCAGGTCTCTCCCTCTGTACAATTACACTCATACAAGCATCTATCTCCGTATCGGCCCTCAGGACATGGCTCTGAACAGTTTACTCCATATGTACCAGACTTACAGGCTTAATGTGTTTGATGACAAAAGAGTTATCCATATTACTGGTGTTTGTTTACGCGATCTTAGCATAAGGGTTTATAACTTAATTTTGTTGTTATCAATTTAATATATATATTTCTCAGTGAAACATTTAATTCAACTGAAAATGTACAAACGTATACAGCCCGTTTCAGTAAGTCTGTAATTAGAAAGGCAGCTCTTGGGGCTGAAATTGATTTTGTATATATGTAGGCTGTATTTATCAGAGACATTTTATAACAAAAGATATATATTCACATGTTCTTATGATGATAAACTTAAAATCTTACCAATTGTCCACACATCCTCTGATGATTGGCGTCAGCAAAAGTAAAAGTAATACGTTAAGATTTTCCATCTTTCATCTCGGCTGATAGATATAATTTTAATTTTGATCCTGTTCTCTAACAATTTTATTAACTTTGTTGAAATATTTCCTTGTTGCTTGATGTAACAGATTATATTGGGCAATAATAATCTCTTTTTGTTAAATTCATTCAAACTTTCAAGGATGCAGAGATGGAGATATACCTAACACATATTGTTCCGCCCTGACGCTAATTACGTCACAATGTAGGCGGGTTCAGACATATTTTGTTATGATTAATCATGGAAACCAGCGCAATATAGAACATACGTACTTCAGGATATTCTTGAAGCGGTGAAAATCACACAATGTTTCTAAAAATATTCAAAGAAATTTCTTATAATTTTTTTTTAAATCAATTTCTCCAAAAGTCAGAAGAAATCCATCTTTTAAGATAAATTAGATACTAGGCCTACGGCTTTTTAAACTGTTAAATATCAGAGACAACGACGTGAGTTTTTACAATGCAACAATGAGAACTAGTTCTTTGTAAACTCCTCTTTGCAGTTGCCTTTAACTCAACTTTAAACATACATGTATCAACAATGTTTTATCAAAGAACAATAGATGCTTTCCTCAATATGTCAATTGGGTATATCTCAGTGAACACATTAACTGTTTGAAAATCATATTAACTGTAATGTCGAATTTCCCTTGAAAAAAATAAACATTTTCAACCCAAGTTCATTATTTATTATTTTAAATCTTACTGATGGAATAATCTACCTACTATATGATCAGGGGTACAACTCCGGTTCATGTTAGTCTGACCATCATCGGTATCGCCTTCTTCATTTTGACGGATTGTGTTATCAGTTTGAATTATAGTTTTATTTTCATTCATTTTAGTCAATTATTGGTCTCATTTGTAATGATTATTTGGTTTATCATACGTAACTTATATGTAATATTAATAATATCATTAAGAATATGCAATTTCATATTCAAATTTCGCATACATAATCTAAGATGAGAGATTAAATTGTTCGTAATTTTTTACCTCCTTAATAACTGTTAAAATTTTTATATTTTAGTGAATTTACCTTCATTTTATCAAAATTAAATTGAACCAAGGTTAAAATTATTATTAGTAATTTTTCTTTCTAGTTTTAAACATATCGGAATCCTAGATGAAACTAGACTTGGCACCTTTTTTATTTTAATTAAAGAAAAAAAAGTAGTTAAGCATGTCTTTCAAAACTGATATACACTGTATATATTTGTAAAATAAAGTTTTAGGTGAAACATATGGAGATAACAATCAGTATTCAAAATCAAAAGTACAAAAACAACACAAAATAGAAGCTGAGCAAATACGGACCCCCAAAACATAAACTTGAGAGATGAGATAAGGTGCAATGGAAGAGTTGAGCATCCCCTTCAGTCCGGTCACACCTGCCGTGTGCTCCGTCGTCAATTCAGTGCGTAAATAATGAACTTATAATCAGTATAAAACGTCAGTCAGAATTTAACTGAATGATAAATTGTATTTGCCGACAAGGTCATTTCATCGACTATAGAACTTACGAAGTGATGACTTTAAACGAGACTGCTGATATTCTTGTTTCAATAACTTGTTTGTCGATACTTTACCTCTTTTTAGAAAGTGTACATACGTATATATACGTCCCACCTCTCATTTTATGTTTTGGGGTTTTCGTTTTTGCTTTGCTCCTATTTTAAATTGTTTTATGGACTTTTGATCCTGAATATTGTTATCTCCGTATGTTTTATTTCATATGAACAGGGTTCATCTGTACCTGTCAATATAACCCTTACCGCCTTCAACATTCAGACGGATTGTGTTATCAGGTTTCTTGCTGTCTTTTCATTTATTTAGTCAATATTTGGTCTAATTTTTAATTTTCAATTTTTTGCCTTTACTTGGTGCCTAATAAAAAATTATTTATTTGTAATATAAGCTACTGTAAAATCACAAATCTTCGTGGGGTCAAATTTTCAAGTTTTGAGGAAAAACATATTGATTTGTTGGGATTTGATTTCGTGGCTGAATTTTTTTAAGTAGTAATGCTTATGAAATTTTACATTTCGTGGTGGTCATGAATATGTGGATCTCTCCATACCTAGAAAACAACGAAAATTAAACTCCACAAAAATTAATGACTTCACAGTATATGATTAATTAACAATATGCAATTTGATACTAGTAATCATTTTATACTGTATGTGTTTTTTTAAAGCGAGCTATACATATTAGCGGTATATACATACATATACGGTATTATACATAAACCTTTATGATGAATTAGACTAAAAGAAAGTATTAAATTGTTTCAGAAAAATGATTTCTGTGCAATGGATTATATATAGTATCATATAAGATATCAATATTGTACAGGACGACATTAATGCAATTTTGCTTCAATTAAAGCTTATTCAAAGTTCTTCCATCGCAAATATGAACAACAGAAGTTTATCAATGTTTTTATTTTCTATTATTGAAATAGTTGAAATCAACTTTTCAACAAAAATTTCCGACATCAAAGTTGCAGCTCATATTGCTTTAAAAATAAAAATATGTAATATATACGGAATAGAATTCAAACTCAAAAGTCTATTAAATAAGTCAAAATAGGAGCAGACCAAATATGGACCTCCAAAAAATCAGAGATATGATCAGGTGCCATAGAAAAGTGAGCATCCCCTGCCGACCGGTCACACTCGGCATTGTTATGATCCTGAAATAACAGATTATATGCAGCATGTATATAAATGCCTAACAATTAGTATGAAAAACTACAGATTGGAGAGAAGGGCATCTTTTTATTATTCTCTTTTTAAGTTTATCAAAGAATAAAGCAAAGTTAGTCTTTGCCATTGCAGTGTTAGGATGTTTTAGTGTTTGTTTAAATGTTTCTGCTGTGTCGTGAATGCCTTGTAGCAGTTAGCTATAGCGTAAATAGAAAGCGACGACAGTAAAAACGCTGTCCAAGGTGGATGGATTAAATTATTATCAAAGACCTAGGTTCACCTTATGCATAACATTGCCGTGTAGATATGCCATATAAAAAAATACAATCTATGTTACATTCCATAATTTGATAAATAAAAGACTTGGTGCTTTCATATCCTATTAATTTTTTTACTAAAAGTTCGGGTATTGGAAAAATGCTTTATGAAGATGCAATGATCATGAATTTTAAGGAAAATAGGTCTATTTGAATACTTTCAAAGGAGAAAAAATTTATTGGACTTATTGATAAAAAAAAAGTTTCGTAATTTTCAGACACAGTTCCATCATTTGATAATTATATGTTTTAGATCAGGAACTGCGCTGTATATGACATATTTAAAAATACTAGTAACTTTTAAATTATCTGTTTTGTTGAATTTTTCTCGATATGAGGAAAATTACGCAATTCATGACGTCATAATGCATTTACTAACCAGAAAATTATGTCATTTTTGATAAATATGCAATTACCAAAGATTTAAAAAATATTTAAAGCATTGTCAACATAACCAAAGCAGTTTACTTTTTTCAGGCCCTAAGTGGATCTTGTTCTCTGTGTGTTGGCCATTACATCTCTCCGTCCCTATCATCTGTGCTAGATATGTTTTATATATCTCAAAGAGGTCATGTATATGATTTGAATATGATATACGGTAATTTTCATTAAGTAAACTGTATGACAAGTAGAATGACTTTAGCTTTTCCATCGTCAACATCCCTGATTTATGTTTCAAAATATTTCATTGATGTTTCCAAATGGAATATTAATCTCCCATTTGAATCGATTTGCAAAGACATGATTTGAGCACATCAATTATTAAAAAAATAGACTTCAGATAAATATGTTTATGTCAAAGACATTCTAACAATCACAAGAGATGTCAATATTTTGAAAATTCTAAGGACTCTGTAACAAAATTCCACATCAAATGAATACAACGAGAATTCGATAAAGGGACAGTTTCTGATCAGTAGTAATTCCAACAGATTGATTGGTAGAAGCTTCAAAGGAAATAGTATAAATGTCGCAAATAAGAAAGAGTGGTTAATCTAATACATACACTAGACAAATTCAAGTAAGCAAACAAGAAAAAGGATTTTGTTTTCACCAGAAAAGGGATAAGGTGCCTAGGACAATAACGCATCTCTTGCTTACCCATCACGCTCGATATATATATATATCGATCTAGCGCGCTGTTCCTGCACTGCTAGGAGACAGATTCCGAAGGTCGAGAGTTCAACCCCGGGCTGGGGCGGAAGTGGGTATCCATATAAAAAAGTGAATTTCTTTGTGCTTTCTATATTAATATATCTTCACTTAGGGCAGTTATGTTAGTTTAAGAGTTGTTGTAAAAATGTGCTTTATAAATAATAATTAATTTCATTACAACATGTATTGGTAACAATCCTCTGTTCAAACTAATCTCCAGATAACTGTATCTCACTTCTATTCTCAATGACCGTGTAGTGTAGGACAGCACCGCGAGAATTCCATCGGCATCGAAAGCAAGTTCTTTGACTTGCCTAGATAGCCGAGCGGTCTAGCGCGTTGTTCCTGCACAGCTAGGAGATAGATTCCGAAGGTCGAGAGTTCAACCCCGGGCTGGAGTGGAAGTGGGTATCCATATAAAAAAGTGAATTTCTTTGTGCTCTCTCTCTCTCTCTCTCTCTCTCTCTCTGTATATATATATAAATTAGTGTAACATCCACACTCATTTGTAAGCAGTCAATGACCTTGTTAGCAAATACAATTTTTCATAGAGTCAAATGCTGACTGACCTTTTTCATACTTATTGTTAGTCCATTATTTATACACTGAATTGACAACAAATTTTTCTGTTATTTCCCGATCATGACAAGGAGCATACAGCCGGTGTGATCGATCGGCAGGAGATGCTCACTCCTCCATGGCACCCTATCCTAACACTGATGTTTTTGAGGTCCATGTTTGCTCTGCTCCTATTTTGAATTGTTTTGTGGACTTCTGATCTTGAATACTGTTCGTTATATCCATATGTTTCATGACAATCACAAGATTTGAAAATACCGAGTTCTTATTTTTTATTTAAGAAAAGTTCTCTGTCAAAATCATGGTTTCCAATTAATCTTAGGGAAGTTAATCTCATTCTGAGTTATCTTTTGGTTCGTTATAACAAACATTCAAGTGACAGGCTCATCCAAAATCAAATTCACTTCAAAGAACGTGGTGATTTGAAATGATAATATTTTTCTTTCCATGGTGCAATAAAGCTATAGGCTAC